CCCCTGCCTGGCAGTGGGAGACTTGGTGGGGCCAGGTACATGACTGGGCAAAGGTGACTTTAGAGCATGGGCCACTCAGGAGGGTTTAGAGGGCAAGATCTGAGACTGAGCCAGGAGGTATGACCTGAACCAGTGGACCTGTGGCCTCCATGCACCCCAGGACTACCAAAGGCTAGAAGGCTTTCGATTGGGACACAAAGACTCCCATTTCTGTGAGGTCCAGTACCCTTTGGGCCACCCTTTAGCATGTTGCTTATTTAGCAAATACAGCCCCCGTGTTTCCAGTGTGGCTGGCTCTCTACAGATCTGAACTTGCCATCCCGTCTGCCCCACTTTACAGATGAGGAAACCGAGGGGAGACGTTCAGGGATTCGACAGGGGTGGCAGAGCCGCTGAGCTGGGATTTGGACCCAAATCACACAGCAAGCGGCCTCAGGATAATCCAGTTGCCCCAGGCTCTCTGGGACACCTGACACCAGCACTCACAGTGGGAGGCACAGCTGACTCACCGTCAGTCAGTCCGTCAGTCCGAGGCTCTCTTGACAGCTGGAAGAGGCTCTGGGGCCAATCTCTCCTTCTCCTGGGAGTCAGGCTGCTGCCCGCTGCACTTGTCACCAGAATCACTTGCAGGAGTGGCTTGTTTCCTGCTACCCCTTGCTGGAGATGACGTATGCGAAGGATGCGGGGCAGCTCCTGCCCAACAGCCCCATCTTATGTGTTCACTTGTGGGGATGCAGAAGCTTACAGGAGGGGCCTCTAAGTGATATCCCCAGAAACACACCCAGAGCCCAGGATCTAAGTGGGACCCACCAGGAGGGATACAGGCATGAAGCAGAGTTTGGCCTAGAACTCCAACAGAGCTGGGGGCTCAAATCCTGTGTGACCTCGGACAAGTCACTCAACCTCACTGAATCTCACTGGGACAGATGGGACAGAGACTGATCTCTTGAGAGCTCAGTGGAGAAAGAAGTTGGTGTCCTTGGTAGAGGTTGGGGAGAGAACTTTCCCACCTCTGTGCTTATACTGGTGGGCACTGAAAGGACCTAGGCTTAGAGGTAAAGGTGGGACAGTAGAGGTCCCAGGATAGTTGAAGGTAGGAGTGAGGAAGCCCCAGGAGGGGTTCTGTGAGCTTGGGCATGTCCCCCCGCCTCCCCACCAACTGCCAGCCAGCTGAGCCTGCCAGTGGGCCAGCACTGCCAGGCACAGGAGAGGTTAGCTCTCTCCCTTCCCGTAGACGCCAACTGTAAGGCTGAGGGGGCCAGGTCGCTGTGCCACCCTCAGCGCTTGGCAAAGACTTCTGTCCCCAAACACCCAGCAGGGCTGCTGTGTTGCAGGGTGAGGCCTTGGAGTGTGGGCTTTATCCCCTACTGGGAAAGGCTTTCTAGAGCCCAGGTCAGGCCCCACAACTCAGAACCACTAAGTCCAAGAAGGATAGAGATTCTGGAGACCCTTTCCATGCCCTAGAAAGAATCATCCTCTATAAAAGTACAAATAATGGCAAGCAGTTACTGATGCCTCCATGTGCTTTTTCCAGACTCCCAGACTACTGAAAAAGGCCTCAGGCCAAATTTCACCCAGGTGACCCCTGCCCATCCCAGCCTGGCATACCTACCCTCTAATCTGGGCCTGCACCGCCACCTGGTGGTCAAACTGGGATGGGCTCCAGACAGAATGCCCTGGCCTCCCTCCTCATAGAGAAATTGCAACTGAGTGGCCCACCAGGACTTACCCACTGGTCTGCTCTCCTTCCAGGACTAGTGTGGAAGGCAAGGGGGCGCTCAGTTCCCCTGAGGCAACGTGGGTGTGGCACACAGGGCTGGCACTAAGTAGTCGGTTTGCAGAGGTCACCTGGTGAGATCGCCATCCTTAGTGTCATCCCGGGAACACTGCCCAGCCTGAAGCGTCTCCCATCACCTATGTCCAGACCCAACATAAAGTCCATCGCAATGAAAGCCTTACCTTGCCCCCAGGCGAGAGTGTCAGCTCCTCCCCGAATTCTCCCACGAGCCCTCACCCACATCTCTTGTCACGTCCTGGTGAGAGGTATGTTGCTGCGGTTCTGGCTCTCAAGCTGGTTGGCAATCTCCCAGGGCCACCCCATTTGAGTGCCCCTCGGCTCTAGCACCCAGCAGAGGGCCTGGTGTGGAAGAGTTGGGGGTGTTTGAATGAGTGGTGAGAGGAGGAGACAGTTCTGTCTTCAAAGAATATTTTTTCCTTCTTGGGGAGTGTGTGTGAATTCTGAGGTTAATCCACCAAGGTCAAGTCCAGGCCCAGCTGCATATTAGGCAACCCTACTGCTCTATGCCTCAATTTCCCCATCTGCAATATGGGCCCATTCTCTAGGGTGCCTGGGGGGCTGCCACTGTCTTCCAGTGCCCCAGTAGGTCCACGCACGTAGACTGGGTCTTACCCAGTGCAGGGATTTAACAGCGGGAATCCTCCCCTCCTCCCTCACCCAGGGTTTCAGACTGTCGCTTTATTGACTGGTTATTGAGCTGCTGCTAAGTCCCTTAAGTCTCTCATAATCCGGTGTTCTCAGCCTCATCTGGGTATAAAACACCTCTGGCCAGGACCAATATTCTCACTACTTGGCTCTCTGGGGTCCCTAGCCTGTTGGCATGAGAGTGGCGGGTGGGGGGGGGGGGGGGTAGGCACTCAGGGTCTGGTGCCTGGGCCCTAACCAACAGGGGCCTGAGAAACAAGTCCAGCACTAGGGTGAGGGACAAGGCACCTGGGGTGCAGATTTAAGGAGGCTTTCTTGCTCAATGTCAGTGCCCGCATGGGCAGCTACTTACGTCTTGAAACTTCAGTCCCACTCACCTAGTCGGGTCCTGCCATATGAGCCCCCATGTAAGGGCCTGTGGTGGTGGGGGGATTCTCTCCACATCACAGGGGGAAAGGCTCAGTGTAGGCAGGGAATTAGAGGATGGGGCCAGAGCAGGGCCCTTGGAAAGGACACAGGTGATCTGACTGAGGGTGGCTGGTGGGAAGACCACTGCGATGCCTATAGTTGCCAGCAGGTGACACCACAGACCAGCATTGGAGGCTGGGAGGCCCAGTTGGGTGCCAAGTAGGCAGTGATGGTCAGGTGCACCTTCAGGGCCCTGCTCTGCTCTGTTTCTAGGTCTGGTCTGAGACTCTTCCACATGGTGTCAAAGAAGGTCAGCCCCTGGCTTTGAGCCTGCTAACCCCAGTGTGTAGATCTGAACTTCATCTCTGTAAGGTGGGCACTGGGAACAAAGGGAGATTTGCTGGGATCTCCCCAGGCAGGGTTGATTATGTCCTAACTGTCATCAGGGCTTCATTCTGGCCCTTTGGGAGGTTAGGGCCCATTGTTAAGGCCTCTGACCAGCTGTGAACACCTAAAAGGTGAAAAGCACTGATTGGGCAGCTGGGATTTGCCTAGGCTTGCCCTCATGAGTGGCACCCTGTGTCTGGCATGTGGCATGAGCTCCATAAATCACACATCACTGTTATTGCTATCATTGTTATTTTATTGCCCCAAGCCCCTCTGTTTCTCACTGAACCCCTAGGAAATAGAGTTGACTACCCCACTTAACTCAGGCCACTAGGCCTCTAACAGAAGCATGCTAAGGTCAGATGGCCATTGTCACTTTGGTCAGCTCTTGGTCAGCTCTTGTTTGACCAGTGGCCAGAGGACAGGAGGCTCACACATCAGTCCCAAGCTTGGGACATCCGCTGTTCCCTCTCTACATCCTCCTGGGCCAGACCTCAAGGACAGCAGGGCATAGGAGAGCTGAGGTGGCTGGCTGGGTCTCAGTCTGCATGTTACAGGGACACTGTAGGGTAAGGAAAAATATCAGGCTTTTCTGCCCTCCCGCCATCAGGATAGATGAGGGAACCCTGTGATCCTGAATGCATGCCTGATGGCGGGCACATGGAGTGGGCACACCTGGGCTAAGACTGTGCTTTTAAGGGCGGCGTCACGGGGACGCCAGGAGAAGCCAAAGCAGAAGCCGAAAGAGAAGCCGAGAAAGAAGCCGAGAATGCCAGAGAGCCCAGAGAGAGTGAAGATTTGCTGGGGGCTGGGAGGACTGCCAGCCTCCCAGCCCCCAGCACTCCTGCCTGCCATGTACCCGCTAAATCCCAATAAAAGACCTGCAAAAAACCACTGAGGACTCTGACTCCTCCTTTACCCAGTCTGCATGGGATCAGAAAACCTGCACTGTGTCCAGTTCTGCCCTTACAGACACCTTGGAGAAGCCCCAGCAGGCAGCACAGTCTTTCATGTTGCTGTCCTGAAGGGCAGGATCTGGATTAGCTGTGAGCGATGGGGAGACTGGGTGTCCTTGATGGGGACCTGTGGAGCCTTGGCCATGACCCAGCAACCGTATATCAGAACAGAGGGCTGCAGGCAGGGCCAAGGGTGTCCCTATTCAGCACCGCACATGTGTGGAGTGTGGGGTCCAGGTTGTCAAGGAGCCTCAGAGGCTGGGTGTAGGGTAAGGAAAAATGTCCGGCTTTTCTGCCCTCCCGCCATCAGGACAGATGATGGATCCTTGTGTCCTGAATGCATGCCTGATGGCGGGCACTTGGAGTAGGGTGTGGGCAGAGGTAGATGGGATTCACCTGGGCTAAGACTGGACTTTTAAGGTTGGTGTCACAGGGACGCCAGCAGAAGCCAAGAAGCCGAGAACGAATAGAAGCCGAAAGAGAAGCAGAGAAAGAAGCAGAGAAGCCGAGAGCAGAGAGAACGCCAGAGAGCCCAGATAGAGGATTTGCTGGGGGCTGGGAGGACTGCCAGCCTCCCAGCCCCCCAGCACCCCTGCCTGCTGCGTACCTGGTAATCTAAATAAAAAACCTGCAAAAGCCACTGAGGACTCTGACTCCTCCTTTACCCGGTCTGCATGGGATCAGAAAACCTGCACTGTGGTATTTCTGACCCTACACTGGGTTTTAAGCCTGGTCTTGGAAAGCTGTGCTGGCTCTATGGCCCTTTCCCTTGAGATGCCTAGGCACAGGGGGCTAGGGACGTCCCCAGCCCCCTGCCAGGCTAAAAGGAAGCCAGAAATTAGCAATGTGGGGACTTGGAACACATTGGGCCACCCTAGTAGGTGCAGGCAATGCTGCTGTCAGAGGTTTAATGTCAAGCTTTGCCTGGACCACGTAGACTGTGGGCCCTGGGGCCAGGCCATACCAAGCTAAAAACCCACCTTGAAGTACCCTTCACAGTGGAAACTGCTGCCGAGGAGTTCTGAGGAGGAGGGGAGAGAGGTGCTGGGGCGACCCCAGGCCCAGGTAGAATGGTCTCCTGGGCTCATCTCACTGCCCCACCCACGGGCTCTCCATGCTCTCCTTTCTCCCTCCTCTCCCTGTGCCTGATGCTCACTTCTTGTCGTGTCTCTCAGCATCTCTGGCCTTTTAAGCATATCCTCTGGGACCACCTCTGGTGGCCCCCTGTCCTGAGCCCTCAGAGACCAGCAGGGTGGGGATGTCAGACCAACAGCTTCTGGGTCCCCTCAGATATCCTGATCCAAGGCCCTCCACACCAAGGCCTGTTGAGGGTGCAGCTGAACAGGATGGGGGAGTTGGCTCTCATGAGCAAACCCCAGGCCTATGCTGACTCCTGCCTCATTTTCATTAGATGTGGCTACAAACATAGAGACATTTAGAGTATGTGTGTTTTGTGGCCTTGGGGTTGTCCCTTCCCTGGACCTGCAAGGTCCTGTTTGCATGGCCATTCCACCCAAGGAGATGTCAGGTATTGCGAGCCCACTTTGCAGTTGACACACAAGACCCCAGAGCAGCCTTGAACTCAGGACTGGAGCTGTGCCACCGGGCAAATCAAGGAAAACCAGGCTGGGCTGCATCTCATAGCTGGGATCCAAGCAACTACCCCCAGCCCTTCACCCATCCTGGCCCTCCTGGGCTTTCACACCCTGAATGTCACAGGCTCACGCTCTTTTCATGTAAACATCTTAATTACATCTTTAATGTGTTCACTTGGAGATGCTGTGAGTTAAATTACAGCTTCTGTGCATCCTAAATTACCCACAGCCCTCCAGTCAGCTCAATTGCTAAGGTATTTATAGCATCTAGAGAAGGAAATAAGTCCAGAACCTTCCCCACACGGGCTTCTGAGGCCCTCACATCCTGACACGTGGTATTTGTCCAACAGAAGATTTGTACATGCGGCTCCCTGGCCCCCCAACCAGCAAGGGCAGTAATGGTGCAAGGCTGGGCACAGGGGTGGGGTGGCATGCTTCTGTGCATGCTCCTGTGTGCATGCATACCCAGTGGGGAAAAGATGCCCAGCTCTTGGGGTCTGGCTTGGTTGAATGCCTTTTCCGATGCCCCAGATTAGCAGATTGCCAAGGACTGTGGGTGAGAAGACAAGGAAGGGGTGGGCTATGCCATGAGGAAACACTGGTTTCCTAGGTCTGTTCCTAAGGGGCTAGCCTCAGGTTGTCAGAACTCCCTCCACTCGCCAGCAGCCTGTAGCCGCTGCCCTCAGATAGATGGCCTCTCTCCCAATGTCTCCCCAGATCCCACTATACAGCGAGACAGGGGAATGTATTTGGAAGTGGTTACCTGCCTTTCAGAGCCCAGTAAAAAGCTGCAGTGGACACGTCCCTCTCCCTTCAGCCCCTGAGCTAGAAGACAGAGAAGGTGGCCCAGTACGATGCTTCTCTACACACACAAGGTCAGGCAACTTGGAGGTGTGTCCATCCTGCCCCACTGTGTGCACGTGCATGAGGCCTTTAGCAGGCCGGGTATTCTGTGACCTGCTCTCATGCTTCCTTCCTGTCAGCTCCCATCCTGGCTTGGGCCCAGCCAACAGATGCCAGGGGAGACCCACGCAATCTCTGTAATGTGGACTGATCTTGGGTATGGGCAACCTTCCTCCTGATGTCCTTACCTACTGGGAAGTGTCATCTCTATCCCTGGGCCTCTCTTGGGCAGCCACCCCCATCCCATCCCAGAGATCTGGGTGGTTGCTTCTCTCTACCCAAGAGGAGGCTCCCTCAGTTCCAAAGACAGGTCTCTCTCTGACAGAGGAGAACCCCTCTACCTCCCATAGCACGTCTCCCCCCATTTCTTCCACTTCAGAGAAACAGACCCTGATGTGTGGGGTCCCAGCAGGAGACGAGGAAGGGAATAGCGCTCTCAACCTTCATGGCATGAAGGATGCCTTCCGTGCCAGGGCCCTCAGATCAGGGGACATCAGGGGCCAGATGCCCAGCCTAGCCTCAGAGTCAGTAGGTGAGTCCTTAGAGCCGCTGGGTCTTCCGCAGGGCAGGTCCTGAGAGTAGGTCTTAACGTCACGGAGTGGGCAGCTCCGTGGGCACTATGGCGGAGTCTTTGTCAGCGGGCCAGGACTGTCCCAGGCCACTCATGCGTGGATGGCATTGGCCACATCAGTGAACACCAGCCGGCTGGGTCTCTGTAGCGGGCCCTGAGCTTGGAGAGTGGTCTGCAGAGAGACAGGTGGGGGTGTGAGCAACCCGCCCCAAGACCATGCACTCTGGCTGCCACCTCCACCTCACTGCCTGCTTGCTCTTGGCACCAGCTATGCTTTTTGCCTGAGCTGGAATGCCATCCTACACACTTTGCCTAGAAGTAGGCTCAAGTAGCTCCTTCTTACAACCATCCCCAGTTTGCCAGGTACTTATCCTGTGGGCCCAGGGGTTGGATTAACTATATACCACCCTCTCCCAGCAGAGTGGGTTCAACTCTGCCCTCTAGTCCCAGCACAGTGGCTGGCAAAGGGAGGTCAAAGGAAACAACTGTCAAATGGTCTACAGTGCCATAGGCTGGGTGGTTCTGAGCCTGCTTTTCTGAATATCCCAACATGGGGAATGTGTCCTGAGCCAGGTGACTCACTGGTGGCAAAACCAAGGGGTCTCCAGACTCCCATCCTAAGGTTTTCCTGAGTTCAGTTTCCCAATTCTTCCTCTGGCAGGACAGACCCTCCAGCAACCTGCATGGTCAAGGCAAGGAGGGATACAGAGGGATTTCATGGGGCGGGGGGAGGTCAGGCCTCTTCATGGTACTCTAGCCCTTGGAGATTTTTGGGTCTGATGGCAAGTGGTCCAGGTAGCCTGGTGACTGGCAGGATAATGACACAGGTGCCTTTGGACATAGGAGGTGAGAATGGCTGGGGTCTCCATATGCCTGGGGTCTGTTAGTTACCAGGAGCCCACCAGTCTAGTCAGAGGTACCACCACCCCTGAGCTTGACCCCAGCCACAATCCACTCAGGACCATGGATGCTTGGGGAGCAGAGGACCCAGAGTCTCAGTTCCTAACAATCTCTCCCATCAGTCCTCTCCTGCTTTTCCATCCAGGAGGGTGGGGCCGGAGACATGCAAGGCAAGAATTAGGATTTTCATTTGCAAATTGGAGATCTGAGAAGTCAGTGGGGCTTCCAAGATCACTGACTCTCAGCCCCAGGGCTGTGCAGCCCAGCCTTGCACACTGAGTCTGTGGGTGGCCACAGAGCAATTATACCAGTTTCAAACAAGCCCATGTACCCAAGAGCGCCACCAGACCACATGGCAGGTGCTGGAAAACTGCCTGAGAAAGGAGGGTGGGGGTGGAAGAGTCATGAACAGACTGCAGGCTTGGGATGGGAGGAGCCTGGCCTGTGCTTACCCTGCCCTACATGCTTACCTTGCCCGGCATGGCCTGCACAGAGGCGGCAGCCTTCACAGAGGCAGCATCCCGCCCATGCTCCAGCAGCTCCTGCTCCAGTTCATCTTGTTCCTCCGTGGGGTCGAAGTTATACATGGGCATGAGCTGGTGGCGGAGTTTCTCTAGCCTGGGGAGGGTGGGGGGTGCAGAGGTTGCTGGGAGCAGGGCAAGTCCCTCCCCACCCATCAGCCCTCCAGGCCCTGCCGGCTGACCAGATGAGCCTTAACAGACAACCCTGTTTAAGGTCCTAAGATTTCCCCTGGGATTAAATGAATGACATTTTTGTACCTACAGTACCAGCTCTACCCTGCAGAAGGGTGGCCTGGGAGGGGTAATTACCCACTTCTAGGATCAGTTAGGGCCATAGGCCACATAATTGCTGCCCATGGGCTCTGTGGGGCTTGTCTAGGTTAGGGCCTTGTATGATCCACATCCTCTGTGGGCACTGGGCAGAGGGAGAGGAGCCAGTGGCAGGTAACTTGGGGTAGCAGGGCAAGTAGCTCAGCACGATCTGACAGAGATGGTCACTCCTAACCCCAAGTAGGCAAAAGAGGCCCTGATTCCCTGACCAGAGTGATGGACTCTGATGTTCGGGGGACTCTTCTTTCCCACCCACATTCTCTGGAGTCCAGCCCAGCACTGCCTGGACTGGAGTGTCAGGTGGCAGCTGGGAGTTACCTCTTCTTCTTCCTGATGTAAAAAACCTGCAAGAGAAGAAGCAGTGTCAGATGGCCAGGAAAGGAGGCCCTGATTAACCCAGTAGTTCTTCAGGATGCGGGATATGCTAGGCTAACGAACCGGAAAACTGTGGGACTCCATGTCCACATGGACCACACCCCAGGGATGCATGCAATCACCTCCGTACCTCCCTTTGATGCTTATCAGCTGCTGACAGTGTCTGGACTCAGAGCAGAGAGCAGGCCTGCCCTCCAGGAGCATGGCCTGGGAAGACCACCTAATCAGACTGGCCTGGGGGCTGTTGGGACCGACCTCTGCCAATAATGACTGTGGCTCCAGCCACTGGCCACTGGGATTCCTCAGGACTACAGGAGTAGGGAAGACTTCAGCATACCCCTTTCTCTCACTCTCCAAAGGCCCAAAGCCATGTATGGGCAAGAAAAACAAGGGCCAGACTGCAGGGCAGTGGCCCTAGGCACTGACTGGGTCATGGGAGACTGATGACCCTCGGTGGACAGGGCCTGGGGGGAGAGCCCAAGACCCTGGATATCAGCCCAGACAAACTCCAGAACCCTGATGCTGACAGAACCTAGGAAGCACCCTGGATCCTAACCCCCATCCTACAGACTTGAAGAGAAGTTCCAGGCAGCCTGAGAAAACACCCATGAGCCAAGTGTTCTGTGCTGGAACAGCACATCCGGATATGAGTCTCTGAGTCAAGGGAGGAAGGGGTCAAGACTGGGGTGATCACCCAGGCAGGGATCCAGGGACCTCTGCCACCATCTCACTCTCCCCTAAGGAGCATGAACACTTCTGCCTGGGGGAAGGCCACATCCCTAGACTCTGTCCCACGCCCCTGTGGCTCTCACACTCTTTGTGGCCCATTCACAGCTTGAAGCTGCTTACTCCAAAGACCTGGAGGGAAACTGAGGTGCCTAGTCCCCTCACCCTCTCTGGGAAGTCACATGTGGGGTAGTGCCCCTTGTTCTCCTGGGAGCTTCATGGTATTTCAGCTCAGCACCTTCCATCCTGAATCACTGGCTCCAGCACCAGCACCCTGTACATTCTTGCCTGTCATTCCCACCCCAAACTTTCCTCCCTGCCCTGTGACCCTATGATGCAGAAGGATCTTCCAGTGAGTCCAAAACCTTTATCCAATCTCCATACCTTGCCTCCGCTTCAACCATCGACACCCCCACCTATACATACCTTCCTTTCCAACCTTTCCCATCCCTCACTATCCAGTTGCAGCCCCACCTCCTCCAGGAAGACCTCCCTCACTGCTTCTCCTGGGAGAGGCACACAACTGAGTATATTTGCTCTTCCTGAACTAAGCATGCCTGGCTCAGGGTTGGCATGAGGGGAGAGGAAGCAGTACTCAGGATAGAGTTCTGTCTGGACCTCTCCCCTAGGACCCAGGAACTGTTTAATGCCCTGCACTGCCTTTGCCCCATAACCTCTCTACCTGGCCACCAAATGTTCCTCGAGAATGAAGAGCAAGGGAGTCTTCCCATGATCCTGGGACAAAAATTTTTCACTGAGAATTACGAGGCAGATTCTAGGCCCTGCTTTGCCCCTAAGGTTAGGATATCGCAGTCTGCTTACCTGCTGCATGGGTGCCAAGGGGAAACTGGCATTCTGTCCTGTCCCCGCCCCAGGAGACCATGCAGGCCCCAACCCCACCCTATGTACTACATCCTGGCCTTGCTTGCCGAGCAGCAGTTGTTCCCTGGCTGTGATCCTGAGCCTGCAGGGCCCATATGGCGATCCTGATTTAACAAAAGCTCTAGCCAGGCCTTGGATGGACCATCCACAGCCCTATTTGTTAGAGCAACATGTTCTGAGTCTCAGGTCAGTCATCAGAGCCTGCAAAGGGCAGCTGCACCCTTGTATCCTGATGCCCAACGCCACCCTCTCATGACACAAGGCCTCTACCTTGAAGTCTCAGCTCTAATACTGCCTCCTCAGTTGTCCCTGACCATGCAGCCTAAAAGTTCCCCAAGCCCTAAAAGGCCTAATTTCCCAACCCAATCTCTATGGAATTTCCTTGGTGTCCTTGGTTTTATCTTTCTCCATTTCCTATAAGAACCTGGGACAGGACCATATGTCCCCAGTCACTGCGGTCCCAAAGGCTTGGTGCAGGACAGGTGCCCAAGAAATAATTGCCAAGTAAATGAATGAATGAACAGTGTTAGTAGCCTGCCATGCTCATCTCACCCAGACTCCGCAGCCCAGGATCTATTTCACCTTTTGCCCTCTACTTCTCTTGCCCCACCCCCAAACTTACTGGTCTTACATTCCTGCTTGCTGCTCACAGAGCTTCCTGCCTGCCTCCAAACCTGCACTGGGAACACCCTCCATCCCAACTCCTATGTGGCTTCACAGCCCACCTCAAAATGCCATGCATTCCTCAGAAACTTCTCTGGGTCTTTCAATCAATGGCAGCTTCTCTGGACTCCAATGAACAGATTCCTGGTGAAGGGGAGCATTGCACTATCATTAACAGACAATAATCTTCTAATTAGGTTCTCTAAAACTCAAACACTGACCACTCTCCCCCAAATAAGGGCATCAGGGGCAGCTCTAGCCTGCCCCAGCTCTCACCATGGCCACAGCCAGGCCAATCACTGTGATGATCCCAAAGGACAGAAGCATTGTGCCCACTCCAGCTGTGCCACCAGCCACATCAGGGATTCTGGTGTCATTAAAGCTGGTGGTTTCTGGGCTGAGGGTGGTGGTCTCAGAGGCTGGCGCATCCGTGGCAGGCTCCAGGTCAGGCTGAGATGTGGGTGGTTGGCTGCTGAACCAGTCCCTAGCAGATTGGATCTTGGAGCTCATACTGACGTTGAGAAGACCCTGGCTGAGAGACTGCCTGTGGTCAGTCAGCCTGCCACTCACTTCTGCATCAGGAGTGTCCCAGTCAGTGGCCCCTGCCCATGCAGGTAGCTACCTCCTTGGATAGGGGTGCTGGAAAGGAAAGAATAAAAAAACATGAGGCTGGGGACAAGGGTTTAGTGGTCAGATGTGTTTCCTCTAAGTTCTGAGGTATTGGACAATAAATAAAATAAAATTAAAGTTGGAGGGTAAAGGGCAAGTTCAGAGGACAGGACGACATGTATTTTATGTATCTGTGGTACCCCTGTGGACTTAGGAACATGACAATGAAGCCCTGCCTCCTCTTTGTGGGTAAGGTGATAGTTGTGATCAAGCTTGGGAGATGTGAAAGGTAATGGAAGGTTTGAAAGAAATAGTCTGTCCTCTGCATAATACCCCCTTCCTACCCCCAAGACCCCACATTTCCCACCTCCTCACTCCCTGCCCCATGCATCCCCTACCTCCTGCTTAGAGAAAAAAATACTGCAGCTCTTTCCTTTCCTTTCCTGGGGTAAGCACTTGCTCAAAAGCCAAACTAGTCTGTCTTTGAATTCCAACTCAGCCACTTAACTGGATGACCCTGGCAAGTCACCCCACATCTCTAGGTCCATATTTTCCTGAGTCTAAGTGGGGATATTATGAACATCTCCATTACAGGATATAGGATCACTGGAATGTCAGAAATTGCTGATCCCTAGACCCCCCCCCCTCCACAGTTAGTACCCCACAAATGTTAGATCTTTCCGCCTTGGCTAACCCAGTTGGGAAAGGGAGAGTCACAGAAGTGTCCAGATTCAGCCAGTCATGTGATCTAGGCTGTGCTTGGAGTGGGGATGGGCACAAGTATGGAGAAACTAGAAGGCAGGAAGAAGAGAGGTCCTCTAGCAGTTTCTCTGCAGGCTCTTGGGGGTCACTGAGCCCCCCATAAGGGATCCAGGACTGCCAGGGACAAGGAGAAAAGTCAGGGAGATATATCTTCAGAGGCAGGAATTGAGCTCCTATTCTGATGAGGGGGGCTGGCTAGATGGTTCTCATCCTTTTTCCTCCTTCCTTGGGAGTAGAGGGTGGGAGAATGTCCAGTCCCACAGGTGGCCTAGATCTTCCCAAGCTAGTGGATCCTGGGTAAAATAGGGTGAGACCGGGTCCCTGCAAAACTGCAGAAGGGCAGCCCAAAGGAGAGGAGAGATACACAGTTTGTGACTCCACACATGCCTTTCTGCACTAGCTCATGGGCGTGTGTGTGGGGGGGGTCTCCCTGAGCAGGTGCATAGGTGTGGGTGAGGTATGCTCACATCTATATCCGTCCCTTAGGAAGGGGTAAGGCTGGCAGAGACACTTGGGGTGAGAGAGATTCATCCCTCTCTGCCCTTTCCCTTCAGCTAATCTGGGAGTCCCAGGTTCTTTCTTGGCTCTGATACTGATCCCAAGTGTGACCTTGGGCCAGACCCTTAACTCTTGGGGTTCTGTTTACTCCACTGTCCAAAGGAGAGAAAAGGCCCTGCTCATCATTTTCTGGGACTGCTTCAGGATCCAAAGGTCAAGAGAAAGCAACCGGGGCGCAAGGGGTCAGCACCACGACTTCCGAGATTCCGCATACCGTTCTCCACTCCACCAGGCTCCTCGGTCCTCCCGGCCCCAATCCCCATCCCGGCCTCCAAGACTCAGTGAATGCTCCTTTCTTGCACAGAAGCAGCGACCTCAGCACTTACTTAATCCTCTCTGGGGCGCAGAGCTCAGTCGGAGAGGCTAGGGGTGATGACGACCAGCAGGAGGTCAGGGAAAGGGGAAACCCCCAAGCGGGGGGTAGTGGGCGGCGGGTCCGACCCGAGGGCCGCCTTCCGTGTAAAGGCTCCGAGCCGCGGCCAGGGCCGGCTGTCGTTCACCGCCCGCAGCCGCCAGCGCTGGCTTCTCCAGTTTGAGCCAGGACTAGAGGGGTCAGGACCCGCCGCGGGGGTGGGGCCGAGGCGAGCAACCTCGCGGGTCCCTGACGCTTCGGCTCCTCGCCTCCCTGCGGGCTCCGCGCCCCCGACCTCGGATTGGCTGTGAAGCCCGGAGCCCACCCAGCATTGGTCTGCTTGCCTGTCGTTCGGATCTGGCTCCGCCCCCGTCAGGGGCTGAGTACCGGGTCCGATCTCTTCGAGACCACCCCTTCTCTCCCCTCGGCGACCCAGGCCAAAGTCAGGCGGGGGCTGTGGGTGGTCAGGCCCTTTCCAGAGAAGAACTCGGGCCCCTGGCCAGCCCTAGCTCCACCTCCGCCTAGTCGGATTCGCGCTCCCAAAACGCAGGCGGACAGAGGAGACTTGGTGAGAGCACTAGACTAGGAGTCCTTGGGTCTGCGTTGAACCCTGGCTCGACCCTCCACTGCCTCAGCGACCTAAGGAACGATGTTTCCCCTCCTTGAGTGTCGGCTTCCTGCCAGAGAGGCTCGGGTGTGAGGGCTGTCGACAAACTACACCTCGCCCAGCATCTTCAGTCCCGAGCAGTCGGGAGCGGGATGCTATTACGGCAGTGCTCCCGGGCACCCGGAGACGGGGACACACAGGTGTCTTCATGCAGGGCGCGAGCATCCCGGGGGAGGCACCGCAGGTACCTTTGAATCCGCAGGTTTTCAAAGGAGTTTAAGGGAATCCCCGGAGTAGCTTGTTACAAGCACAGATCCCGGTGACTCCGGGTCTGATACGGAGCCGGGAAACTGCGTGTTTACATAGTAGTTTATTTAACGGCGACCTAGTTAACAATCGATTCTGGTTGCGGTGAGGTCAATGTCGTGAATTTTGGAGAAGGAGCAATTGCAACTCACGGAGAGCCGGGTAAGTGAACAAAGCATCGCGGAGTTGGCGACAGAGGTAGAATTCGAACTCAGGTCCCCAGCGTCGGGGTTTGCGCTTCCTGCTCCAAACCCTAAAACGCTAGGGAGACATTCAAGGGCTTCCTTAGGGTCCTGTCGCCTTCTGCCCCGCCCGCCTGCCGCTTGCCCGGCTCCGACTATTCCCTCCGCTAGGTGCCCGACGCTGGGATTTGCCCCCCAATTTGGTACCACCTTCAACCTGGGACCCGCCCCCAACGCAGACCCACCGGCGCGAGGCTAAACCAGATCGCGCCGCGGGACTCCGCGCCCCAGTCTCGGAGCCGGCGCCTGCTGCTGACGCGGCCGGGCTTGCGCGGGCCGCACGCCGACTGGCCGGGTGCTGAGACACCATCTTGGAGCAGCCCCGGGAGGGATGTGGTTGGCGCCATGTCCCTGCCTAGATCTTCTGGAAAACTGGCCCAGTTCGGACCTCCAGGGGCAACCACACATACACCCACGCACTTCACTGCAGTGGGCTGAGTCCCGGGGGGCACGGCGTTGAGTTTACCCCCATAGGCCTTAGGAGCCTTCCTAGGAACCCTGGAGCTGCGCCACGGGATCCGCCCGGGCCCTTTTTCAGTTGCGCCCACCCCGGAAGCGGGGCTCGCGAGGTGGTTCGCGCACGTCCGGGAGCCTAGACCTGGCATTTTCTCCTGGCCATCGGCCATTTAGGGCAGCCTCTCAGGCAGGTATGCATTAGAGATGGGGAGCGGGAATGGGTTACCTCCCCAGCAACACCCTCGAGATACCCCTGTCTCCCGTTGTATAGCTGGGAAAACAGACGTGGGAGAGGCCACCTCGCCTGGGTCATTAGCGATGCCTTGAGAAACCGAGAGGCGACCGCACTCCTGACCTCAGGCTCGGGCTCCTGGGGTAGCGCTCAGGTGGGTAGAGCCTCCTTGGGAATCCGAAGGACCTGGGTTTGTGTCCTTCCTGAAACAGTTTCTAGCTAATGACTTTGCGCAAGTCCCTCCAACGCTGCTTGTCTCTGAAATGTGGCACCCAACAGTTGCTTAATAAATGCTAGTTTGGACGTTGGTCTGTGTGGAAGGAAAGGGGACCACCGATTTTAAACATTTAGCTAAACTTGTTTGTAATAACTTCAATATAAAATTAACAAAATATTGTCAGTTTTTTGGCTGGCAGTAATATGCAAGATACTCGTAATGAGTTAGGTTAAGGGGTGGGGGTGTGGCGTTTCAGCATACAAATCACTGACAGTACCCTCAAAATGTTGAAAGCAAATGTCCAGGGCAAAGATAGATTCCTTCCCATGTAATGCTAGTTAAGAACATGTAACATTGAGTCCCTCCTGTTGAAAGGGAACTGCTAAGAAAAGGAAATCTTTCCCTGTTAGAGAGTCATAGACCTGGAAATGTAAAGTAAATAACAAGTTTGCCTCCCTAATAAGCATATCTAAACAAGGTCTGGCAGCCTGCTAGGCTGATTTATCTCTCAGGCCATCCTCAAGGATCTGCATCCTTCCCCTTTCCCTGTGTCATGAATTTGTATGCTAACTAACCAATGTTATCAATGTAAGATGCTTGTGTATGAAAGAGACCCTTTGTCCCCAGACTGGCGCTCAGACTTCATGGGACTACCCAGGTCTGAGACCTCATGCATGAGTAATAAAGCTTCTCCCGACCTCACCATTCCTGAAGTACCGCTTGTTCTTCTGCCTAGGTAAAAGGCTAGAATTTATTTCTGCAACACTGTGTGTTCAGCTGTCTCCCAGGCCTTTGACATTCATAGATAAATATTCTGCTCACCTTGGAGTGAGTGTTTTCTTGGAGTGGGTGTTTTCTTCTCCATTTTATGGACAAGGAAACAGAAACTCAGAAATAATGACTTTCTCAAGTTTACACACACTGGTTCAAACAGATCTGTACAACCTCAAAGCCTGGACCCTGATCTACCATCAGTTACTGAGCTATGGATGTAGTCCAGTTCAGCTAAAAGAATAACAAAAACATAACTAGCCAAGATAAGAAAAATCATATAGGTGAATGAGGGTCAAATAGGTAAATGAAGGAGGTGGCAGAGCAAGAGCATGCCCTCTCTCAGATAGTGACTGAGCAGAGGTGGGTAGGCCTTACAAGGCTCAACTGGTCTTCTCGTCCTCTTTCAGCGTGCCAGTTACATCTGACCTCTCCATCTCCACCTGGCTGGGGCCAGTGACCATCCTCAGCAGCTGATACAAGGAGAACTTGGAGACCTGGGAGTACTCAGGGGAGCTACCTCTTGAAACAAGGAGCTCTGGGGCCAAATGTTACGGGTCCTTCTGTCTGGCCCAGGGAGAAGGGGAAGCACCCAGAGCTGGGCCTTCAGCTCATGGCTACCCCATCTGCCTCTGGCTGGGTTGTCAAATGCCATGGAGCTTGTCAGCCACTGGACAGCAGTCTTTGAGAAGAGGGGCATCCCTGAGGCCCAGGAATCCAGTGAATACATCGTGGCTCATGTCCTTGGAGCTAAAACAGTTAAGTGCAGTGTTATCAAGAGGGTCAGGAGATGGGGGAAGGGAGAAACCTGGCAGGGAGACATCTAGACTTCTGCCCCACTGAGAGTTCTGAGCTGAGAGTGATGGAATTTTTCTAAAGGAATGTCTTGGATTGGAGGGAGGGAAGGAGGAGCACAGGGGACTGTGGTGATGGTGCATTGGTGAATTGTTGAAGGAAATTCTATGGGGACTACACCTGAGGAGGGGAAGCAAACATTGTTTAAAAATGAACAATGGGGCCTCCCTGGTGGTGCAGCGGGTTGAGCACCGAGCTGTGAAGCTGCCCGCAGCCTCTGCAGCGCCGGTTCAATTCTAGCCAGGGAGATGCCCACATGGCACGGCACACCTATCCTGTCTCACCTGCTGCTCCCCTCAGCAGTATCTTTGGTCCATCTGCCTGTTCTGTTCCCCACTGTCTCTGGTGAATCCTCTCACCCTCCCGTACCTCTGACCTGTACCCCAGTTCTTGTATAAATAAATATTTTTTTAAAAAATGAACAATGATGTAAAATATATGTAAATAAAAAAATATGAAAAAAATTGTAAAATATTCTAGAAACATTAAAAAAAAAAAAAAGGAATGTCTTGGGATGATACTTACTCTTCCAACAAACTTACAGTGTATACCAAGCACCAAGGATAACCAAAGTGGCCAGTGTTAGATTCATAGGCACTGCCCACAAAAGAAATCTGGGTGAGGAGAGCCACTCACATTCTCTGTGGGGCAGTTTCAGAGCCTAAAGCCAGAACTTCGGACCCAGCCCTTGACCCCTTGGCAGCTTCAGCACATCCAAGAGCTGAGTAACCGCCGATTGCAAAGGTGAGCACTCGTGGACTAAACCTGAAGGCTCTGTGTGGGGAGCGAGGATCCAGCTTCCCACCAAGTTCATGGTTGGTGAAGGGAGGGGGCATTGTCCATGGACTAGGGAGGTGTTGGGATGAGGGAGTGATGGGAGGCATGGGGTCAGGATAGGAAGAAGGGAAGGCAGGCAGGCCTTGGCCCCAGGGAGGCAGGAGACATGACCCTACCTGACACTTGTGCCTATAAGTGATATTCTTCAACGCAGCCACGGTCCTGTCAGTCGCTGGCTCTGTCATCACCCAGCTGTTCCCTCTGCAGGATGCCTGTGCAGTACGTCCTTGGGGAGTGGGACTTTCAGGGCCTCAGTCTGAAGATGGTGCCCCCAGTGTTCATCCCTCGCCCAGAAACAGAGGTAGGTATGTGCCACCAGCACAAGGCCAGCTAGAGGCAGGGAGTGGTGGGGTTCAGGCACATGTCTTACTCTAGACTTCCTCCAGGGGCCGCTGGGGCTCCATGACTGCTCTCAGAGACAGTGCCCTTCCATACTCTTGTCTCCTGGCCAGCTAGGTAGGTGGGGTCAAGAAGGCAGAGGTCTCTTGCTGTCTTCCTTGACTATTCTCACATTCCAAGCTACTCTCCCAACCCTGAGGGTTGATAGTGGCTCAGGGTATGGCAGCTGGTGCTGCCTACCATCTGCTCATCCTGTTCCTATTTTCCTAAGAGCTATCCTGTAGGCCCATGGCTAACCAACTCATAGGAAACAATGCCCTCCTCCTTCTCAGGAGGCAAGTGCAAAAGTGGAGAGGACTCCAGCTGAATACTCAGAGGCCCAGTACACCTCTGTGACCTCTGGAAGGTCACTGTCCCCTCTGGGCCTAGATGAAAAAAGGGTTGGGCCTCCAGACCAGGGAATCTGTGAGTTGATGGTTCTCTTAGATCCGGTATCTGGTCAAGTAACTGCCTGTGTCCCTCAAATTACTAGGACTGGGGAATGGTTGGTAGTACCCTGATCCTAGGAGAGATACTTTCTCTGACTCTTATTGGACTTCCTGCTGACCTTGTAGATAGCAGAGCTAAAAGAATAAGGAAGCAGATGGGGCTGGCTGAGTGGGGGCCACTGTGCAAGCCAGAGGGCTCCAGGTTCTGAGAAAAGGTGTTTCTAGAATGATGTCCAGGCACACAAACTTGCCTGGGAAAGATTAGGCCCCAACCAGGAACCCAAAGCCCCTCCTCATTTTCCAAGCCCCTGTCCTTCAACCAAGAAACCCTCTGATCCCACATCATCCAGTTGGGAGACCAGGTCCTCGCCTTATTGTTCACCATTAGGACAGGGACAGTAGGGAATCCGAGATTTTGCTTAAGTCACAGGGCTGCCCAGGTAGGGAGCAGAGAGACAGCACTGGGGCTTACTGTCTCTGGGTCAGGGCCCCACACCTCACATGGTGCTATCCCATCTGGGATTGGATGAGCTGAAATGGGATGCACAGGCCCAGAACAAGATATGGCCTGCCATCTACATGATTTTGGGAACCCACCCGATGGCTCCCCTAAGTGTGTGACATGGGAAGGACATGGGAAAAAAGCTACTGTGATGACCTTTGAGTCCCCTCTCAGAGCTGACGTAGCACCAGCCATGTTCAGACTGTTAGGTGTGGTCTTCCGGTTCCCATGTAGGCCCCCCTCTCCTGGGTGGGTCTGGGCCAGGAGCGCAGCTCTGTACTGGGTAGAGGGAGGGAGGAGGCTGTGGTTAGGAGGCTGTGTTCTTGCCTCACTGTACAGACATTTCTGAGAACTTTCCAGGTTCACCCCAATGTAAAGCCACATCAGGGGGTGCCTTACCAAGAACTTGAGAGGACGTGGCCTGTGGCAGAGTAGGGAGAATGGGTGCAAGGGAGGGGTCATGTGCCTGTGTTCTCTCCATCATTAAAGGATGCTTCTGATAATGGGGACAGAAATCTACATGCTGTAGGTGGCATGTGGTCCGACGAGTTGGGTTTTCCCTGGGCGTGGGAAGGTGGCTCAGTCTCCTGCCTGGCACTGCGTACGGTGGAAAACCCGAGGCCGAGAGTTGAGCCGCTCCCACCCAGTCTGGTGAGGTGAGGCTCTGGACTGTGGGAGGCTCAGGGCCTTGGTGATTGGCTTGAAGGAGAAAATGCCTTCCTGGAGCTGCCCTAATGGAAGGGGCTCCTGGTGCTCAGGTCCTGCTGAGGCCTTGGGCCAACCTCTTGAGAGGGTGTGAAGTCCTGTTGAGGCAGTAACTGCACAGAACCAAGAGCTGCCTGATCCCTGCCTCCTTCCCTCTGCTCCCACCCCATGGTATTCTTAGATTCTTTCCCTGTTCATCTGGAGGATGTGCCTGGAACTGTGACCAGCTTTCTTCCAGCCTCCCCACAGAGCCACAGCTTCAGGGTTAGGGACACTGCACTGCGGGAAGAAGAGAGTTTCTAGACTTAGGGATGGCCTCTGCCTCTACCCCCAGGTCATTCCACAACCAAGGTGATCCTCTAGTAATGTAAGGAAGAGGCTAGGAGGCACTGGGGGTATCAGGACCTAGTCTTTCACCTTCACACCCTGCCTAGGGTTGCCATTCACTTATGTGTTGTGTGTCACTGAGGTTGGGGATGTCTCTGTGAGGTGACTGGCCAGTGTGGCTGGCTGAGGGGTCATTCTCCAACCAGGGTAGGTCTGTCTGCGGTGAGGAAACCAAGAGAAATTCATACCTCCTGACAAGTCTTGGCTATCCCGCCAGTCGCTCAGCATGTGGCCTCACCACTGAGACCACAGGGTGTTGGCCACAGCTTACTCTGTGCCAGTCCTAACTGTGGGCCCACTTGCTGCCACTACCCCAGTAATCTCCAGTAGTATCTGGTACAGGGCTGGTGGGAACCAGTCAACTAGCAAAGGGAAGTGCTCTCTGGCTGAAGCAACTCCCTCACTTGTAGGCAGTAGCTTGTTTGGTGCTGAAGGGGCTTGAACAGGAAGGGTTAAATCTGCTGGCCAAGTCCTGCCTGCCTTGGACTTGTTACCCTGGGAAAAGATGAGGGGTTGGGGGGCCCAGAAGGATGAAATGCTTTTCAGGACTCAACACTGAGGAACTTACATGGAGAATGGATCTGAGTGATCTGGACCCCTCTGCTCCACAGGAGCCTGGGGGACTGGGATTTGGAGGAACCTGGCCACTGAGAACTTGCTCAGCACTTGAGAAAAAGCCTTAGCTTTTGGCCCTTGTATGGGCCAAACCTTACCAGTTGGGACACACCATGTTCACTTAGATCCTGGGCTTGCCATCATGGAGCCTTCAATCTGTTGGGAGAAGCAAACCCTCTTCTAGACCTTCAACTCATGGTCAGGAAAGTCGTGGTAGAGAACCTGGCAGGGTCTTGGACGTCTTTCTGGAGAGTGTAGGCCTTTCTTCAGATGAGGAAAGCCCCCACATGCTGACCTCTCCCTTGCATTCTGAGCCAAGAGTCCCTTAAGTCCCAAGTCTGGGCAGGGAGGGGAAGGGAATCACCAGCTGTCGTCCAAAGGTTTTGAGAAGGAACCACACTGCCTTTTCCCTGCACCCTGCCTGGCTGCACAGGCCCCCCCACTCCACTGCTTTGGCCTTTGGAAAGCAGCAGCCCTACAACTCACCTTCACTCTCTGCTTCCCTGCACAGTCCCTGCAAGTGACAGATGGGCAGTTGAGACTCATCCCTGTTGTTCCACAGTGACAGTGTGAAAGTGTTCCCCTGCCACCAAGGTGTGAACATAACCAGGAACCTCTCTGCTCACTCACCCTATGCCCTGTATATGTCCCAGTACCCTTTAGATAGTGTATTCAGGCAGGACAATTTTCCTTTCCCCTTCCTATGGAGGAAATTCCCTGTTCTTTCAGCCCTTAGGAGTCTCCTTGGGGACCTCCTAATTTCAGCTCTCTGGGGCAGCTGAGGATACACTGGCCCTTGATTCTTGGCCATCAGGAATTGCAGGCCAGTTTCCAGGGAGGACCTTGACCCATGGGCCTCAGTTTCCTTATAGGCCACTTGTAAGGACCCAACAGATTAATACAGGGAAAGCTCTGGAAAGAGAGCTAAACACAGAGGGAATGACCAGGTATGGTTCTTAGCATTGCTGTGAGCACAAAACAAGAGGATATCTGTAAAGGGCTTAGCTGGGCTTACCAAACACTTACCCTTTGTGTATCAGTGCCTCACAAGTGTGGTACTGTCTAACCCCATTAAATCCCAGTAAGATAGGTTACCCTCAATTGTGCTCAAGTTTACAGATGGGGAAACTGAGGCACAGAGAGGGAAAGTGACCTGCTAATGGCCCCAGCTGAAAGTGACCTGCTAATGGCCCAGAGGTTCAGTCTGGCTTTAGCAATTCCCCTATCTGCTATTCACACAAGGGCTAACTATGATTGGGCTTCTGTGCCAAGAACCCCAGGGGCCAGGTTGGCACCAAGTCTGATGCAGACTCTTCTGCCTTGCAGGAGCTGGTTGAATGGGTGCTGGAAGAGGTGACACAGGGGTCCTGTGAGGTGGGAGCCCAAGGTGGTCCCCTTATCCTGGAGGTAGGCTGTGGATCTGGGGCCATCTCCCTCAGCCTGCTGAGCAAACTCCCCCAGGTGAGCCCCCTCAGCATCCCTCTCTGGGTCGACTGACTAGCACTCACTGTCCCTCTGATTTATCCTTTCTCCACCATGTCTGCTACAAGCACTTGCAGGGAAGTGAGCAGGTAGTGGGCTATCAGCCCACCATGATCATAACCTCTAACTTCCATCCCCTTCTGCTGGCCAGACCTTGGTCAAAGAGGGGAAAGCTGTTGGGTCTTTCCCTCCTCTTCTTGTAGGGGATTAGAGGAGGGTTCTGATTTCTAGTCTGGCCTCTCAGAACCTTGTTTCCCAAATATTCTTCATTTGCTTGTGGACAGAGCCGAGTCATCGCTGTGGATAAAGAAGAAGCTGCCATCTGCCTGACCCGTGAGAACGCTCAGAGGTAGACAGGCTGGGGGGGACCAGAGGGTCAGGGTGGAGGGAGTTTTGGGACCTGACCCCAACCCCTTTACAGGTATAAACTCACTGACATCTGATTTATTCTTCCAAGAGGAGAACTCAGTGGGGGGCAGCCTGGTACGGGTCCCCCAGGATTATGAATGGGTGGTGGGCACCAGATACTTGTCAGCTCAAGAAGGGTTTACTCTCCTAGTCCTTGTGGTGGAGAATAGGGGTCTGCCCCTAGTGCTCATGCTAATCTTCCCGTCTCTCCAGGCTGTGGTTGCAGGACAGGATTCGGATCATCCCCCTTGATGTCACCTTAGGTACCTTCCCCCTCTCTTCCCTGGAGTGGGAATCCTGCCGCATGTGCTGCTGGGTGGATGAAGCAGTCTGCAGGGTTGGGGAGAAGGGTGTCCCCAAATTCATTCACACATGCACAGACACATAAAGGGTATCTCAGGCCAATCCTCGCTGAAGACTGGCAAGTCTCTCTTGCCTCTAGGCTCACCTAACCTATGAGGGGACCAACCACAAGGTCTTTCTTACCTTCTTATTCCCCCATAACATAAGAGTGTAATGGGCTTGCTTTTTGGCTAGAGAGGAAAAGAAGTTCAAGAGAGAACCTTTAGGACCCAAATACTTGAGTGACCCCCTTGTGCCTGCTGGCCCAGGCATAGCACAATTCAGCCATAGCCTTTACAGGCTATCCTCAGGGTTCTGGCTCTGTCTAAAACCTGTGGGATCCTTGAGCCTCATTTACCTCCTTCTTGGAATGTGGTACATCTGTAGTAGCCATAGGGTGAGCCCTGTAAACAGAGCCACAAGGAACTGACTGACTGAGGTCAGGTATGTCCTCAATATGCTCAACACGAAGTTCATACTTCATGTTGGCTGAGGCAGAGTATGACAAAGCCAGTGTGATTGCAGAGGACAGAGGCTCTTGCTTTTCTCAAGTGATCAGGAAGGACTTCTTGAAGGTGGCACTTGAGTTGAGTCTTGCTTATTGAGGAGGTTTCTGGCAGAAAGAAGAAAGAGTAAGGACATTCAAGCATATACACTCCCAGCCAGGCACTAATCTGCAAGGCTGGCGTAGCAGACCCAGGGACACTCACGCCATGGCTCAGGGGAGAGACTGCTCAAAGGATTTGGTGGTGGGTAGACCTACCACTCTTTACCTCCCAGCTCTGCTTTGTCTTCTTTTTTATCCCAGAGGGGAGTTGGGCACACCTTCTGCCTTGGGGCTCTGTGGACCTGGTTGTCAGCAACCCTCCTTACGTCTTCCACCAGGACATGGAGCAGCTGGCCCCTGAGATCCGGAGGTGGGTAGTGTGGTGGTGGGGAGGTGCTGGAAGGGGTGGTGGTGTTGACAGAGGCTCACACTAGAGCTCATGGACCTCTTTGGTTCAGCTTCTGCCTTCCCACTTAAGACCACTAGATGACCCCTGAGCCTCTCTGACTCTCGGTTTCCTGCCTCTGAAAAGAGAGTGGCAAAGCCTTGCAGGGCCATAGGGAGGCCTCGGTCCCAACTCCACAGTATCAGCCGTGCAGTCAAATATTTCAAAGGTACTCAGATAGTGCATCATTTTATAGAAGACCCAGAGAGGGAAGGTGTGTTGTTCAAGGTCATGTGGGTGCTTAGGAAAGCTGGGACTGATACCCTACTCAGGCTTTACACTGAGACATCCCGCTCTCAAACCAGCTGAGAACCAGGAGTGAGCCCCTAGGTGAGACAAAGGGAGAATGGGTTAGAGTTTTGGTGCGTCCTTTCTGGGCCCTTAGGAGTGGTCAGGGCCAGCTCCAGGCCTCCCCAGGCCAAGAATAGAATGGCCTCTTTATGAAGAGACTCTTGTTCTGGGAGCTGCAAGTCAATGGAATTGCCTAGTGGGGCACTGCCTATAGGAGGTAATGGAGTAGGACCCTCTGGGTCCTCAGACTTTTGACGTGTCCCAGAGTGTAGGTTCCATGAGGCCCCCTCACGGAGACCCTGCTCTGCTCTTCCACAAGCCCATCCCCTGTGTCAGGTTCTCACTTTCCACTGTTTATCCTTCAGCTATGAAGATCCAGTAGCCTTGGATGGTGGAGAGGAGGGCATGGACGTCATTATCCACATCCTGACCCTGGCATCTCGGCTCTTGAAGGACTCTGGGTATGGATGGGGCGGGTCTCCTGGGTCTGTCCTCAGCAGTCTTCTCCTCTGTCAGTATGTGCTGGGCCTGCCTGGCCGTCATTCTGCTCCTGCCCCTTCCAGCCCAGGCCACCCAGGAGTGTAGGTCCAGCCCTGCCTCACTGAGCTGACCCATTTCTTTCTTAAATAGAAGCATCTTCTTAGAAGTGGACCCAAGACACCCAGAACTTGTTGGCAACTGGCTCCAGGGCCGGACTGACCTGTCCCTCAGTCTCGTAGCTATACGCAAGGACTTCTGTGGGAGGTGAGATTTTGCTTCCCCTTAGTCCCCCACACTCTTGCTCATCCTTCTACTGAGGGCTTGCACAACTCCAGCTGTGGGTGATGTGCTGTTCCCATTCCCTTCTCATTCCCCAGGGTGCAGGCAGTAACTGGCCCCTTGTCCCTGTCTCCTTAGGCCTCGGTTCCTGCATATCCAGAGGTCTGAGCCACAGCGTGACTTCCCTGTGGATGTCTGGCCAGGGCCCCAGCCTGCCAAAGTGCCTGGCTGATGCTTCTTCCTGGAATGCTACTTGGAGGGAAGTGGATGGTGCCTTGCAGAACCCCAGATGCTTGCACTATTTCCTATGGCTCTGTGATTGGCCATGCTCTATGTTGCAAGGATACTTGGGGGTAGAAGCAAGAGAGGGTGTCCTTCCTAAGGCAGCAAAGAGCAAGGACATCCATAGTCCAGCTCAGGAGCTAAGTAGACTCAGCTTCCCAGTCTAGCTCTGTCAGGTTGGTGTGTCCAGGCTGGTGGCTCAGCCTCGGTGGGTAGAATTGCCTCTGTGATGTTAGGAGTTATGGCTAATAAAGCATCGAGAGACCTACAAGTAGTGACCTGTTAGTATGATTTGTGTGTCCCCTGTCTTCTCATACCAAGGCTATGCTGGAGGTAAGATCTTCCTTTTGCCCAACCTGCCATCAGGCCCAAGGTCACATCCTGGTGAGGGCAGAGGCTGAGATCTCAAAGGTTGGCCTGGCTCCAGCATCATAGCTCAACTTCAAGGCCAACCAAGCCTGTCGCTACAGACTTGAGGCCCTGCCCAGCTAGTCTACTTGGCCTGGACTTCTTTCCCCGGGAGAGTCAAGTCTCACATTTTTCTGGGAATGAAGTTGTCTCCAAGACCTGCTCCAGTGACCCTAGCTGCCCCTACATTGTCACTTTCCATCATTATGCTCTCTTGGGGTGCCATACCCACACGCTTGCCAAGGTCTTTCCTCAGTAATGGGCCTGAGGCCAGAAGGGAAACGTACTGACTAAGGTATGGCCCAGACTGTGGGACAAGGGGGCAGTAGACCCCTAATTGGTTCAGGCAGCTGTTTTGAGATGCTACTGGAGACTGTAAGAACACAGGTGGGAAGAGAGGAGGGGCAATAGGCAAAAAGGTCTGAGGTCAGAAAGCTAAGAGCTTTGATACCCCACTCTGCCCTTCCAGATTCCTTCTGGAATAGCCATGAGATAGAATTTCTAGACTCAGGGGAGACCTGGGGCAACTGGCAGTCCATGCAACTGGAGCAGGTTAAGTGACCACACTGTCTCTGGCCACCACACTACCAGGTCAGAGCATTGAAAGTGCCAGGATGGGGTTGGGGAAGAGTGACAAAAAGAGCCAGCTTCCCCTGCATGTTCCTCAGGACCCACCCTGATACAGCCTCACCCCAGCACCTGCCAACCTGGATGTTTCCTGTTACTATGGACAGAAGGATTGGGCCTTCAGGCCTCCAGGCAGCAACGAGTCTGCATAGCTCAGAGCTTGGATGGAGGTCACAACCTGGTGGCCACTCTATGTCAGCTTCTCACTCTCCCCAGGGACAGATGGATTATCTGAAACCCCAAGGTCAACTTGGCTAAAAGTTATGGGGATAAAATGTCAACAAAAGCCCTGTTCACCCTTCACTGGCTTAAATCTTCAGGTAAATGAATGTGACCCCAGAATTGTGCAGAAAAGACCCTCAGCCCCATCCTTTCCCCAAAGCAGACAGTCATCCTGAGCTGAAACTCAGATGCAGCTTCTCTGCTCAAAGCTGGGACACAGCCTGGGAAACGTGGGCAAGCCAGGCCTCTGGCTGTATAAGCCAGAAGCAGCAGCTGTGTGCCTTCCTCTACACGGCCTCCCATCCAGAGCCTTGACTTACAAGCCTGAGAAATGGAAAAAAGTGTTTGTGCTTAATAGCGTAGTTGTGAGGATCCTGTGGGATGCACCTTTCACGGGGCAGAGTATTTTCATTGCCTGCCTCAGAGGACAGACGTAGGGAGGGCCCTGTACCCTTATGGGCCTGTCTGGTGCTTGGCACCATCACAAGGCAGGCAGAAGCACAGCAGTCTGGGAAGGAGGGAAGGCAGGGATTCCATCTTGGGCTCTTCTCTCTGCCCTCTGGAGATGGAGCCTCCAAGAGGCTGGTAGCCAGGCAGCAGCTCCGGATCTCCCCTCAGCACCTCTCCCTTCTCTCCAGGGTCTGAGTGCCCCAAAATCCAGGCCATAGCAGCAGGTGTTTCAAGTTAGGGAAAGCCAGGCTCACCGGCCCTATCTCCACCCTCCCAGTGGCCAGGACCAGAGAGGAGCTTTCTCTGTAGCAGGTGTTGTGGAGCCCTGTAGGACGAAGGGCAGGAGAACATGGAGCTGATGATGGATCCAGCCTCCGCAGCCCCTGAGGCCTGGAGGGATGTGCATGCTGCCCACCAGCCTCTTCAGCCCAGCTCAGCATGGGCAGCGGGTATAGAGACCCTGACCCACATACTCTCGAACAACAATTCCATCCCTCTTCTGACACTTGAGGAAATTGAGACTGCCCCACATTTGGATACTTTACCTAGCTGCCCATGGGTTTCCAAGAGTCCTACTGAGCTGCTTTAATGAAATGTGCCCTCCTCCCCCAAAACTCCTAACCTCAAGAAATAGGCCTTTTATGCTCCCCTATTCCCACCTGGACCCTTGGCCATTAACTGCTCCCAGTCCCTGCTCTCAATCTTTGGCTGGCTCCCCGTGACCTGAGTGTGGCCTCTGTGTCCTGCAGAGTCCAGGTCTGAATAGCTAGGGAAGATGGCAATGGAAAAGGACCTGGAGACCCTCCCAAGGCCCCGTTTGTGCTCGGAGTAAGCTTCCATCAGTGCAAAAGTTTCCACCGTTGACAAGCTATGAGAACTGCTGACCTGTGGTGAGAAACCCTGTTAAGCTCTGCAGTTCAGCGTGTCCTTTTCCATCCACCTTTGGATTCTTTCCTTCACTGCCCTGGACTCTAGCTTCCCTGCAGAATTCCATTCCCTAAACACTCCTCCCCTTAGCCCCAAAAGTGGGGATGCCTTTGCCCACCACCGCCAATCCAAATCACCTTCCCCTTCAAGCTCCAAAGGCTGCCTCCTCTAAGACACCCGCCCTGACTTCTGTTGTCTCCACCTGCCCCTTGCCCATACTTCTGCCAGCACCAATGGCATTCTGCCCTACACTTTTGGAAACCTCCCTGTCTCCTTCATGTCTCTGGGGTCCCATGTGGATCTGGCATACCACTCAGTAAATGTCCACCAATAAGCCAACTCTGTGTGTTTACTAGAATTAACCTGGGACTTCCCATGTGGTTCATATGTGACCTGATAGCAGCTCTCAAATATTCTAGTCAGCAGGGAGAGGAAACCATGAGGGCCTGGCGTCCCACCCGAGCCAGGCAGCTGTTTGAGTTGAGCCATGGTGCTGTGAGGGCTCAAATGCACCTGATCTCTGCATGGCGGCTGTGCCAGGAGAACAGGCTGTCCTTGGCGGCAGTGGCAGCAGGCGCCAGGTTTCCTGGAGCTCTGGACCCCAGCCAGAGTGTGGATCTGAAAAGTGGCCTGATCCCCCATGGTGATCCCTCAGACCTGGATAAGTTTCTGGACTGGACTTGGGACTCACAAATCAACCCTGTCCCTCCTGTGGTAGGCAGAATGATGGGCCCAAACATGCCCATGTCCTAACCCCCAATCCTATGAATATGTTATCTGACATGGCAAAAGGGAACTTGCAAATGTGATTAAGTTAAGGTTATCTTGAGCTGGAAAGATGATCCTGGATTAGTCAGGTGCGCTCATTGTAATCACAAGAGTTCTTAAAAAAGGAAGGTAGGAGAGTCCAAGTGAGAGATGTGATGATGGAAGCCGAGGTCAGAGTGCTGCAGTTTGCTGAAGGAAGGGCCACGCAGGAGTCAAGGAATGCAGCCAGCCTCTTAGAAGTTGGAAAAGGCAAGGAAATGGATTCTCCCCCAGAGACTCCAGAGAGAATGCGATCCTGCTAGCACCTTGATTTTAGCCCAGTGAAACTGATTTTGCATTTCTGACATCCAGAACTACAAGATGGTAAATTTATGTTGTTTTAAGCCACTGAGTTTGTGGTGATTTATTATAATAGCAAACTAATACAGATTTTGGTACCTGAAGTGAAGTGTGACTATAACACCTAGAAATGAAAGTGACTTTAGAATTGAAATTTGGAAATGTGCAGACTGGAAGAATTTTGAGGTGCATGATTGCTTCAAACACCTCTCTTCTGACAGGGGAGGTGGCTAGAGGTGGAGGATGGGAAACCTTCAACTTGGAGATCTGAGCTGCCTGTGCCCACTCCCCACCTGTCTAATGTATACTAAAGGGCTTCAAGATTATTCAGGAGCAGACAGAATGGCATCAGGGAAGGGGGCGCAAGCTTGGTCTTCTTGACCCATCTTCAGTGGCAAAAGACCCAGGCCTTTGTGTGGCCTCCTCTGGTTCCCAGCCGCCAGCCCTTCATCAACTGCAGGTCCCTTCCCTGCCTTGCTTTCAGGAAGGGTCCTGCCTGCTGGGAGAGTCAGCCAGTCCCTCTGCTGTTCCTGGAAGTCATTGAGGCAAACCCACAGCTGAAACTGCCTGAGCCTTGCCTGCCCTCGGGCTCTGCAGCTGACTGAAATATCTGGGCAGCCCCTCTGCTCCCTACCCTCCTACTTTTCTACCTTTTTGCCATCATTTCATGAGCTCCTGCTGGACACCGGGCCCCAAGGAACTGCTTTGTATTTACTAGTCCTCGTATAACCCTGCAGACTGCAGTCATGGGCCGGACTGCATAGCTGGACTGGGAGTGAGGGTGAGGCTGCCAGCAGTGCCCGTTTGACTGTCAGAGACCCTGAGGTCAGCATAGCCAAGTCCTGGGCTGCCCCTGCAGAGCTCAGAGCACAGGTCCACCCAGACCTATGGATCCTTGGAGCAGAAGCAGGGCTGTCCCCAGAGGGCTTTCTAGAAACCCAATGACTACCCTGATGGGCCCTTCTGAGATGTGCGCTACGTGGGCCCAGGATCTCAGTCTCCCAAGCCAAGTCCTACTGGGGCGATGACACCAGGTAAAAGGGCCTATAAAATGTGGAACTTGAATTGTGCACCTTGAACCAAGTGCATCTGGGACTACCTTACTCAACCCTCATGGCATCCCATAAGGCGAGTCTGTGAAACCTCCCAATTTACATATAAGGGAACTAAAACAGACAAGCAAAGGAACTTGCTCATATGTTCATTGAACTGGGCTGAGTGACCCAGGGCCTGGGGCTTGAAGAGACACAGGATAGGCATATAGCAAGTAGTGGACACAGTCTGGGCACATGAATATGTAGGGGTGGGGTGCTACGTGGATATGTAGGGGTGAGGTGGGATGAGCTCCAAATGCACTTCTGGGTACCAGGGGCTTAATATGAGGTAGTTACAGGGAACCAACTGCAGCACAGGCCCTCAATTCCCAGAGGGGCCCTGGCACCAGGTGGGGTACCCCAGGCCTAATACAAAGTGAGCTTTGAGGTGAGTACTGGTCAAGTAGGCATTGTGGATGTTCTCTTTGGCTGCCAGGAAGAGGGGGCTGGGGCAGGAGCTGTGACTGTGCAGGGTCTGGAGGCAGCCAGTGGCTCTAGCCATGGCACTGGGTATTCTGAAACAGAACTGACTTTGGGGCATGACTGAAGGGTTGTATAGGGAGGGAGGAGGCCAAGATCACATCTGGTCCAGGGCTCTGACTGGGATTTAGGGGTTTGAGACTACCCTAAACTGAGGACTGGGGTGCTTGGGTCAGTCAGTGAGCTTGAGAGTGTGGGATGCCCTGAGGACACCCTAGAGGCAGTGTCAGGGTAATGGACAAAGGCATCCTGAGACCCGCCCAAGACCATGTGGGGACGCAGCCAGAGGCAGAGGGTGCGGTGGAGTTGGGATCACTCTCAGGCCCTAGTGCTGTCAACAACAGTGCTGGGTACTCCGTGGGGGCTAGTGCCAGATGCCACACTCATGTCATCATGAATCCATCTGTCTGCACTTCAGGGTCACCTTTCTTGGCTTACTAGATAGATGGAGACTGTTTCTTAACCTACCCAACAACAGAAACCAAGGAAGTGGCCACCATGGTTTTTGAAACCAATGCTTGATGTCCCAGCTGGAAGGGGAGTGACCAGGCCACAAGGCTGACTGTAGCCCAGCACCTCAATTTCCAGAGGGGCCCCATATCCGGGTAGGGCTCCCCCAGGACTGAACAAGACTTCCAAAGCAAAGGGGAAAGTGGTGAATCAAACAAACAAACAAACCCCAGATATGGAGTGAGCTTCCTCCTCTGTCAGCTGCTCCTGGATGTCAAGCTTTCATACCCCAGAGCAGGGGAGCCAGGTGAGGAGCTGCGTGTGGGGCAAGGCGGGGGTATGGGGGAGGTAGTGAAAGTGCCTGCTGCTAAAAGGAGATTCTGCTGTTCTCCAGATGTGAGCTGGGGCCCACAGATACCCAAACTCTGGTTTTTAGCTGACAGGTAGGTGGGGAAAGTGAGTCCCACCTCAGCAAAATGGGGTTTGAAGCATGTCATGTCAGGGGGCATTTCAGGTCCCCAGGCCTGGGAGGTTCTGGGAGGAAGCTCTGAGTGAATGTGCCTAAACCTCCCCCCCCTTCTTTTTTTCAAAGATTTATTTATTGATGCACACAAGAACTGGGGTACATGCCAGAGGTGCAGTGGTGAGAGGATTCACCAAAGACAGAGTGGGGAGCAGAACAGGCAGATCTACTGAAATACACTGCTGAGGGGAGCAGCAGGAGAGACAGGAAAGGTCTGCTGCGCCATGTGGTCTGTTGCTTCCTGGCCGGCCAGGGATCGAACTTGTGCTACAGAGGCTGTGGATACCTCTGCGGATAGCTTCACAGTGCTGTGCTTAACCCCTTGTGCCACCAGGGAGGCCCTAAAACCCTTCTTGAAGGCATTCCACAGCTCAAGAATTGACCATAGGGCCTCCCTGGTGGCACAAAGGGTTAAGACGCAACCTATGAAGCTATCTACAGCCTCTGCAACATGAGTTCAATCCCTGGCCAGGGAGCTACCCACATGGTGCAGCAGACCTCTCCTGTTGCCCGCTGTGCCCCTCAGCAGTGTATTTCAGTAGATCTGCCTGTTCTGCTCCCCACTCTGTCTCTGGTGAATCCTCTCACATACACATCCCTCCCCCAGCCTCCCCCCCCCCCCGCATCTCTGGCCTGCACCCAGCTCTTGTATGCGTAAATAAATAAAAATAAGGAAAAAAGAGAATTGACCATAGCTACCACACTCCTTGCCGGCCCTGAGTCCAGTCTTCCTCATCTGGGTGAGCCTTCCTTCTCAGCCTTTCTAGAACTATGGAGTCTGTCCTTTCAAGCCAAGTATCATGTGAAACTCAAATATGCATTTATCTCTTTTTAAAAAGATAAAAGCAGCATCTAAATATAAGTGTATCTTATAAGTTCAGATTCTTGACCCTTCCCAGTGGTGAACAGCCATGGCAAGCCGCCGCTCATCAGGTGTCTGAACTGGGGCTAGGATGGGCGCTGTGGTCTTAGGTCAGCCTCAGCGGCCAGTTTTGGTGGCACAGGACCAAGTGACCCCTGATTCTCACAGATAAGCGGTTACAAATAGTGACGGTGTTTCTGAAGGACTTGCCATCTCTTTTATTCACGGGACTGCAGCAGAAGCCTTATTTTAGGCTCAGCATAAACCACGTTTGCCGGATACAGTGGGGCTACTAATGTGTCCTAATTAATTTGTTGTTGTGCTTATTTGAGTCTGAGTGTGTTTTTTTTAAATTGGGTTTTGTTCAAATGTTAAAATATGAAAGAAAGGACGATAGAGGAATAAGGGAAGGGAAGGGAAGGGAAGGGAAGGGAAGGGAAGGGAAGGGAAGGGAAGGGAAGGGAAGGGAAGGGAAGGGAAGGGAAGGGAAGGGAAGGGAAGGGAAGGAAGGAAGGGAAGGGAAGGGAAGGGAAGGGAAGGAAGGGAAGGAAGGGAAGGGAAGGGAAGGAAGGGAAGGGAAGGGAAGGAAGGGAAGGGAAGGGAAGGAAGGGAAGGGAAGGGAAGGGAAGGGAAGGAAGGGAAGGGAAGGGAAGGGAAGGGAAGGGAAGGGAAGGGAAGGGAGAAAAGCTTGGGGGCTTCTGGGGAGCCCTCCCTCTGGCTCTAGGTGTAGGCAGGTCTGTCTGTCTCTCCCAGGAAGCCTGCCCTGACTGCTGCACCCCTACCCAGCCTGGAGACCCCCAGCCCTCCTCTCACCAGCATCTGTCCAAGCCACACGCTCCTGAAGAGTGTCCATCTCAGCAGCCTCGGACCCTCCCTTGGCTCTGGTGTGGACCTTCCAGGTACTCAGTCCCTGGTTCTAGGAGTAGGAAGAAGACCCCAAGCAAGAGATAGAGTAGGGGCTTCCCTGGGCCTTACGTTGGTATCTCTAGAAGTA